CACACACACACACACACTGAGGGGTTAGTGTAAACAACTTCAGTCCACTCAGGGAGAATATTTCATTGCGAATACAAAATGCAGCGAGAAGAGCTGTGCATGAATATTTAGGATAAATACACACTCTCTCTTTGCGTCATACAGGCACGAACACACAGAGATTGTGTAAACCAGTCACAGAGGCCAAGCAACAAAAGGCAGGGGCAGAACAGATAAATAAAGTGTGTTCTCTTCCCTTTGGCTTAGCTGTTGGTGACTAACATAGTGTTTGAAGACAACAGAGACTTACTGACAGCTTAATGTGTTAACAAGCCACTTCTGATTCCTCTTACCGCACAGTGGGAACAAGCAGGATGTACAAACAGAGTCCTGTTACTGCCTTAAAGCTCCAGCATTGTGGGCAAAGTTCAAAGCCACAGGCCAATAAACTAAGCGCTATAAGAAATTGTAAAAAAATCCACTCAGGTCATTGCAGACAGGAGACTTGTTAACAGCATTGCTCTGTGTGCTTAGTTAAACTGTTTCAGTTGAAGTGATTGGAAAGACGCCTCAGCTGAAACATGGTGGAACATGCGTGTCTAGATGAACCCAGTGTGTGTGAGCAAAAACTCAAACACACTGCTTCATCATCGTGTGGAGACAGTCACAGCTCGCGCCATGTCAGGGGTGACAAAAGATGTTAAATGAAAAGATCTTCTGTAACGTTTCATCAACATCTCATGTGTGAGCACAACAGTAGTTTATTCCAACAGTTTCACACGTGGGCTCAAGTCGCACAAGAAAAGCAAAACTGACACTTTTTTCACTCGTCTGCTGTGGGACTCAACCTCTCCACAGCACGAAACACTCGTCAGCTACAGCAGCAGAGATGTGACTTAGTGGCCTTATTATTATTTTTTTAAGTGCTACTAAAGTGGTTAGTTATTAACACAGGAATAACACACGTGTGACTCCATATTGTAGTGGTTTGCACATTTGCCTAACAGGCAAAGAGTCAGTGGTTTGATTCCAGACCCAGGTGTTGTGGTAGGAAGGCGTCTCATATAAAACTCTGCCAAACCACAACAAACAGCTGAAAGCAGCTTTTAAAAAAATCAAATCTGCAGGCAGAATGCACAAGTTTCAACAGCATATTGCACACTTTGAGCTGAAGCTGCTTTTTAGCAGTGAAACCTTAGTTTTAAGTGTTTTTATTAGAAAGTTACACATCACTTTGATGTGCACAGGAAACTGGACGTATTTGTACTAGATACCTCTTAGGTATCAGTTGCTAAAGCAAAATTGTGGTGTGAGAGGAATTTTATGATGCTTTTGAATTTTTTATTGTCATTGCACGTGTCACAAGTACAAGGCAAAGAAATGCAGTTCGCATCTATCCAAAAGTGCTTTAGCCATGATATAGATATATTACAAATATATATTAGCAATAGTATAGATATATAAATACATTACAGAAATGGGTCTATTATGGTATGTAATAGTGTACACAGTAGGAAGTTATGAATATGCTATAACTGTAAGTATGTACAGGCTGTAGTGGTGTAGAAGCTATGTACAGACTATGAAAAGGATATAAATATGAAAACTATACAGAAATGTGATGTGGACTCCCAGGAACTTGAAGCTGCTCACACGCTCCACAGCCATCCCCTTAATGTGGATGGGTGGATGTGGGTCAGCATTCCTCCTGTAGTCCACAGTGAGCTCCTTAGTCTTCTCGGCATTGAGCAGCAGGTTGTTTGTGTCGCACCACTCAGCCAGACGATCCACCTCCTCCCTGTAGGCGGCCTCATCGTCGTCACTGATGAGGCCAATCACCGTGGTGTCATCTGCAAACTTAATGATGGTGTTGGAATCATCAGCAGGTCTGCAGTCGTGGGTGAAGAGGGAGTAGAGGAAAGGGCTCGTCACACAGCCTCGGTGTTCATTGTGATGGTAGATGAGCAGCAGTTATCCAGCCGGACATGTTGGGGGCGGTTGGTCAGGAAGTCCAGTAACCATTTGCAGATGAGGGAACTGATGCCCAGGTCTGTCAGTTTCCTGATGAGTTGTGAGGGGAGGATTGTATTGAACGCTGAGCTGAAGTCTATAAACAGCATTCTGGCGTAGGTGTTGTTGACCAGCTGCTCTAAGCACTTTGTGACGATGGGGGTGAGTGCTACTGGGCGGTAGTCATTGAGGCTTGATGGGTTGGAGTTTTTGGGTATCGGGACGATGGAGGTGGATTTGAAGCAGGCCGGTACCACAGCAGTCGTCCTGGATGAGATTCTGGCAAACTAACTCAGGAGAGGAAAACAGTCATAATTCATAAGTCAATGAATTATCTGTCTGTTACTTACTCTGTCCGAAAGAAGACTTACAGGTCTAATATTTATGCCCTTCTTGTCTGAAATTCCCAGTTTTTCCAAAGATATCCAGTGGACCAGTTTGGATACTTCGGTGGGCCAGCCCCGCTCTAAGGTATCGGATTGGAACAACAGTTTTCTGAGCTCAACGATGGTGATGAAGATCAGTTATAGAGTGGATGCATTAGTTCACCAGTCAAGGTGATTTTTCACTTGTTTTTCCAAGAACACAGTAAATGCAATGATCATTATTATGATATTACCACTACATTGAAATTCCAAAGAGTGCATTTTTACCCTCTTATTATTAAGAAATTAATAGGTAAGTATGGAACAGCTAGGAGAGAAACCGGACGGTATCGCTGTGTGACGGATATTTATGCGTGTACAGTCCTGTGGAAAATTCTGAAACTGCTCTTTTCTGTTTAGTTTTTGTTTCCAAGCAACCAGACCTTGTAGCTTTTAGAGTAAAGGTCAACTTTGAAAAAACAACGATATTGCTTTTTCACTTGTTTTCAGTCCAGTACCTGACCGTCCTTGTACCTGACCATTTCCAGTGGAATTTGTTTTTGTTTGTTGATCACTGATCTATGACATTGTGCAAAAGTCTCAAGTCTTTATATTTAGCCAGGAAAATGGGAAATACTTTCAGCAACTTATTGAAACATGCACATATACATATATGGACATATATTATATCTCTTGGCTGGCCTGGGAAGTCCTTGGTGTTCCCCTGGACAAGCTGGAGGAGGGAGGTCTGTGCTTCTATGCGTGGGCTGCTGCTCCCACGACCTGGCCCCAGATAAGTGGAAGAAGATGGATGGATGCACAAATATTCAGGGATATATTGTATAGAATACAAAAACAGAGTTTGTGGCAACAAAGTTTAAAAGTCAATGTTTAGTACGACCGGCTGTATTCTTCAACATAGCTTGAACTACCTCAACCAAGCTTTGTGTAATTTACTGTAATTTATGTGAGTAGTCTTCAGAAATCGTTCTCTGGGCTTCCTGAGAGACATTCAAAGCTCTTCTTTGACACATGACGTCGTTTTGTTCTGTTCTTCGTCAAAACGATTCCACACTGGTTCGATGGTGTTGAGGTTGGTCTTTGGGGAGATCGCTTGTAGAGCTCCATCGTGCATGTTTCTCTTCAGTTATGCTTTCTCTGTATTTGTGGTGTGTTTGGGATCACTGTCATGCTGACAAAAGAGCAGTTGGAAAAACAATGTTTACCAGGCGGTAATGCATGATGGATCAAAATCTAACTTCACTCTTCTGCACTCATAATTCATACAAATTTGAGAAGATCCCCAACAACACCGGCTGAAATGCAATGCTGAAACACATTCATAAAATGACTCAGGCATAATATTCAAAGTTGACTTAAAGTGTTGATTTAGTATTTTTTCAGATTTTCTGCACATTTTTTCAGTCCACTGCACAGTGATTAGTTCTTATTTAGTGTTTGGTTGTGCAAACTCTACAGCTTAGTTGTCCCCGCCCTCCTTTGTCCTCCTGTCCCCCTCCCCTCCAGTGAGGAGGTAAACAGTTTGATGGCGTGTGGGACAAAGGAGTTTTTAAGTATGTTGGTAGTAGACTTTGGGAGAAGCAACCTGTCACTGAACAGACTCCTCTGGTTGTTTATTATGACCATATGCAGAGGATGCCCAGCATTGCCCATAATTTCCATCAGTTTCTTTGGTGTCCTCTTCTCTGCCACTGTCGACCACAGAGCCAGCCTTCCTAAGGAGTGACTGATATAATTCCAACCCCACCTTTAACCCACCTGTCATTCCTACCACACCCTCACATTGTCTCGCTGTCCGCATACATGTCTTGCACCACCCTCACATATTTCTCTGCCACTCCTGACTTATGCAGTACCATCATTCCTGTCTTGGCACCTATCATACTGGCTGTACATGTATTTGCTAAACCCCATCATATTTTCTCCATTATTGGTGGAGTGCCCCACTGCAGGAAGAGTCCTAAAGCCTGACTGGGGCCTGTCTGTGTGGAGTTTACATGTTCTGCCTGTGACTATGTGGCTTTCTTCCGAGTACTTGAGCTTCCATCCACAGTCCAAAAATATGCAAAATATGTAGATTTGTCTTTCTAAATTGGCTATAAATGTGATGTCACATGCTTAAAGTGTGTAGAATTAAGTAAAACAATTAAAATAAAAAATGTGCTGATTAAAATGTGATTTTCAGTCTTTAGCAATGGTCAGTAAGACTAGAAAAACACAAAATAAATGCAAGTAGATTACAGTACAAACTACAGTACACTGGAATCTTTGAAGCTCTGAGGGGGAATAAGTAGTTTAACTGTGACAAGCTGCACCAGACCAGAATTTATATCGTGCGTATGTGAAACATGCAGAAGAATAAAAGTTTGGGATTTTCTTCTCGATCTTGCTGTTAGTGGCTTCTGACACAGGTGACACTGAGAATGGCTAAATATACTTTTTTTAAAAATCATTGAATTTTTATTTACATTTAACCTTTTGTATTGTTTATATTGTCTATTTTGTTACTTAACATTCTGTTTATTTTAACCTTCATGTACAGCGCTTTATGACTGGCTGTCTACAAAAAGTGGTAATTAA